AACCCCACTTTTGTCTTCTTTTGAAATGTTAAAATACTTGTGCTGACTCATCCTCTACTCTCTGGAACATATACATAAAGCAGCTAATCACTGCCCAACATATAAAACTGCACCTGACTGTTAGCTTGTGGGTCGTAATAGCTAGCAGAGAGCAACGTCCATGGTCAGTTAGTGGTTGTTTAGGTCTAATTCATTAATTTCTTCCCTTTTTCTTCACCTGTCAATCTATGAACTAGTGGATCATGATCAGATAATAAGTAAGGTTGCAACAAAGCCGCATAAGTACTTGCTTGGATTAACAGACTAACTGACATTTTAGCTCACACACTCAAAAACAAAAATCTCCGGATTCATAAAACCTTGCCACAATCTCCGCGTTTCCCACATAAAAGTTTTGACAGAAAAAGGGTTTTTTACTGATATGCAAATTATATATTAAAATGAGATATCACCTGTTTTCATAAGTAAAATGATATGAAATGTCACTTTTAATCATTTTGGCTGCTGGTCAACACCTGTATGTCACATGCAAGTGCTTGAAGTTCAACCACCATCTACTGACGCAGGTTTAGTGTTTTATAACTCGTCTCCTCAAAAGTTTGACACGTTCAGTCATTGACTGCTGCAGGTTTGGTGTCTCTAGCTCATTTATATGACATATATGTTGTCATGAAGCATCTGACTTCCATGTCAAAGTGAGCGTTGTGCAGCACCACTTGTCGTCCTTATCTGACAATAAAAACGTAAAGTGAAATCCATTTCACTCATACTGTCAATCTGGAAACCCTTCATTAGGATCTCCCTGTGATCATCATATCGTATCTGACTGATGCTTTGCATTGGAGCCACTGATGCCTTCGTCACAATACACAACTTTGTGTCTTGTAATTGTGAGTCTTGAAGTCATCATGTTAGGAAAGTAGTTTAAAAACAGGCACACAAAGGGCAACCATTTACAGCATACTACCACTGGAGTACAATTAGCTGATAATGATCCTGATCAACAAGCATCAGTAATCAATAAACACATTATTAAAGCATTAATCAAACTAATAACTAACAGCAGTCAATGTCAGACAATATTATCAGCCTTTAGCAGTTAGCTAGTGTTTCTGTAGTGGAGACTAAACATTAAAAATGATCCATTTTTAGCAATTTGAATTCAACTCAAAAACTCGCCTTTAAAAATATCACATTTTAAAATTCCTAACGTGTTTCGTAACAAACTGAACGGCGAGAGAAACACGAGCTAAAGTCGCGTCATATGGCCACAGTTCCTTTTTACTGTCCCCAATACAGGGGGATCAATATCATCCCAAAAGATCACCCAGTGGTATACTTGATCAACTACATCCATAAAGATACAGTGTATACTGATCAATATCATCCATAAAGATACAGTGTATACTGATCAATATCATCCATAAAGATACAGTGTATACTGATCAATAATCATACATAAAGATACAGTGTATTCTGATCAATATCATACATAAAGATACAGTGTATTTTGATGAGGAAGAGGGATATAGATTTGAGGTTTTTGAACACCTGTCTCTCTCTCTTTACCTGTCTGTCTGTCCAGGTGGGTAACCACATAGACATCCTGTCTAAGAAGTGGGTGGCCCAGGATGCCGGTATCGGAGCCGGGGTCGACTCTTACTTTGAGTATCTGGTGAAAGGAGCCATCATGCTGCAGGATGAGGAGCTGCTCACCATGTTCCTGGGTAACCCTCACAGCACTTTTCCTTCTCCTGCAGAGACCTTTGAGCAAGGCACTACCCTGGTAACAGACCGATGGAGAGTAAGACGGTAGTTATAATGACGCCTCTGTGACTTCACATTTCTCAGAGTACGATCGAGCCATTCAGAACTACACCCGATTTGACGACTGGTACCTGTGGGTCCAGATGCACAAAGGAACCGTCTCCATGCCTGTTTTCCAGTCTTTGGAGGCCTTCTGGCCCGGCCTGCAGGTACAGGCACTACACAGAAACACAATCTTTTAAAGAATATGTAAGAACTTTAGTTAGTCCCTTGTCCTCTCCTGTCACTTTGTCTTTGTTGTCCCTAGCGTCAGAGTCCTGGTCAGGGCCGCTGTAGAACACCTCCGTACTGTATTTATTCCCTGATGTTAAAGTCGCCCAGCTCCGGTTCTGGTGCATTCAGTGCTGGGTCCCTCCCGCCCCCGAACCTGAAAACCTCCTCCTCCTGGCGGTCCAAAGCTCCTGTGCTAGCGGCTCCGAGCTTCCTGTCCAGACAGAGTCAGCTCATAGACATATATACAGATAATAGGCTAACTGAGCTTATGAGTCAGCAGCAGTTAGCTCATACGCTGGTCAGATGCTGCCCCCTGTTTGTTTGGAGTATACATTTAACATATTCTTACATGCTGCACCCTTAAGACTGCTGAACAATGGATAAATACTCACACTTTGAAATTGTATTGTATATATTCATTGTGTGTGTGTGTGTGTCGTCATAATAAAAAGATGTCCACAGTCGACTGTCCAATGTACAGGATGAATATCATCCCATACGATACAGTGTAAATACTGGATCAAATACATCCATAAAAGATACAGTGTATTCTGATCAAATATCATCCATAAAGGATATTAGGTATACTGAAATATCATCGCATAAAGATTACAGTGTATACCGACAATATCATCCATAAAGATATACTGTATTAAGCTGATCAATATCATATAAAAGATACCCAGTGTACCTGGGGATCAAATTCATCCAATAAAGGATAACAGTGGTATATGATCAAGTAAATCATAATAAAAGAACAGTATTGCTGATCAATATCATAACATAAAAAGATAACATGACTTTTTGGATAAGATGGGATATAGATTTAGACGTTTTTGAACACCATGTCTCTCTTCTTTACACTTCTGTCATGTCCAGGGGTAACCCCATAGACATCACCTGTCTAAGACGGGTGCCCAGAGAATAGCGTAAATCGGAGCCGGGATCACCCTCTTACCTTTGATCTTATTTCTGGTCTATAGATGAGCCTTCATACTTGACCAATGATGAGTTTAACTCTTCAACCATGCTTTGGTTCCCCTCAACAGCACCTTTTTCTCTGCAAGAACCCCTTTGAGCAAGGCACTAAACCTCCTGGTAAACAGACGAGAGAGTAATCTAGGAGTTATTAAATGACGTCTGGGACTTCATATTTCCTCCAGAGCTACGCGATTGTGCCAATTCAGCGAAAGTACACCGCACTTGTGACGACTGGTTAAACCTGTGGTCCAGATGCACCAAAGGAACCGTGCCCATCTGTGTCCAGTCTTTGGAGAGCCTCGCGCCGGCCGGGTCAGGTTACATGTGGCCACTACACATGAAACAACAATCTTTAAAAGTGTATAGAACTTAAGTTATGAGAAATCCACAAAATTTGTCTTTGGTTAATCCCCTAGGTAATGGTCCTGGTCAAGGCCGCTGGAGACACTTCCGACTGTAATCTAGTCCCTGCCTGGAAAGTCGCCAGCCTCCGTCTGTGCCTTCCATGCGGGGTCCCCTCCCCGCCCCGAACCTGGAGGAAAACTCCTCCTCCCCACCCGCTGAGCGATCGATTTCTGGGTCAGAACACGAAGTCAGTCCATAGACCCATATTATTTAACGAGACTATATCGTCTACTGAGCTTCATGAGTCAGAAGCCATTAGCTACCTGGAGATTTATATATTGTTAATTGCTGCCTCCTTTGTGTTTGTTTGTAAATAATTTAACAACTTCTTACATCCTGCCCACCCCCTAATGCGCGAACAAAGATAAATCTCACACTTTAAATTGTATTTAATATTTCAATATGTGTTTGTGTGTGTGTTGTGGTTGGTGTGT